TCAACTGAGATCTCTGGAAAGAGCGGAAGCTACTCTGCAGAGCCTAGCCACAAACTACAGTACATGGTAGTAAACTACCGTGCAGGGATATTGTGAAAAAAATAGGTAGAGGATGGACAGTGCAAAGGCCCTCAAGTTCCTTGCAGAAAAGAAGCTAGAAAACACAATTGCCATATCTGATTGAGTGATTTGCTTTGTACTCCCCTTTTTTCCTCTAGCGAGCACCCAAGGCACCTAACAAGTTTTGTCAGAAGCTGCAAAGTTAAATTTAAATGAATATCAAGCAATAACACTATGTAATAACAGTTCAAGGGCATGAATTCTTAAACAAAGAAATAAATAGTTGGCCCATGGCTGATGGGAATCAGGATCCTTGATCGGTTGCCCCCAGATAGTCCAGCACTCAGATCCAGCTAAACCAATTCAAACACCTCCCCACCACCACCAGATGCACCAGCAGCAGCCTTGCCTCAAGTATAAGCAAGAGACCACAAATCTAAAAGGATTAGCAACCTGGCTGGAAAACATTCTTTGCTATTACTTGATCTGGTACAATAAAGGGTAAACGTGTTTGGGCATTACCAAATGATTTTTATTTCCTGGAATGTCCGCCAAACGGTACTGATGAGTCCAGTGGCACCAAGTTTAGGAAAACTATGCTATGCAACGCTCATTTGTGCTGAGGCCCCAGCAGTGAACAGGAAGATTCAGCCGATGCCCCCCTAGATGTGAATTTATTGGCAGAGCGGATGTCCAAAAGAATCAATCCCATCACCAGCTTCCAGATTCGTTTAATGAAAGCTTCCCTCCCCACCCTTGGAAACCAAGCTAGTGAAGATCTGGAAGCCCACACTCAAAACACCAGTCTCTCATTTCATGCCTGGGCAAGTTTTTAAAAGAAAAGAGGCTGAGCAAGATACAGGTGAACCTTTAAGAGGAAGAAATGGTTATTATTGTGTACTTCTCCAGACCAGGGATTATCAAAACTGCATGCCCAGCAGCTCAGACGTTATGCTAAAGTATGTGTCAGGGTCAGCGTCTTTCCTCCGCAAGAGAATCCCAGGAAGGGATTTTTCCCCTTTCCCCTCTCAAGGGATCAAAACTATTGCCAAGCACCAGATCCTGCAAAATGCTGCAGAAAATACAACACAAATAATTTGCACCCTTCTCCAAATATCATCTTTCCTCTGCTTCATTCTCACACGCATACTCTTTGCATCGTGAACAAGATGAGCTGTTATGTAGCCACTATCCTCAGCAATTCCCAAATTCTGTAGTTTTTGTTTAAGAAGAGGATTTAAAAAGAAGCCGCCTTCATTCATGAGATGTTTGAAATCTGTATGGCTTCTTTCAAGATCAGATGCTGATTATACTATGAAACTGGGAGAAGGAAGAGAGCAATGTCAGAAGCACTTGTAGTTCAGAATTTGCTTCTTCTTTAAATCAACATCGTGAGACGAAAGTTGCCTCATAAAGCATAAATGCATAAAGGAGATATATCACTAGAATAACCTAACGTTAAAAAAAATCCTTAAAAAGTAACTGGATCTGAAGGAGGAGATATCTAATGCAGACTCTGCTTCAGATACCTTGACTAGATCCTTGGTAAGTCCCTGCAAAGTGGATACCTGCCTTGAGTTTGGATTTGGGAATTTCCCTTCTCCCCCATTTGTTTCTCTCTGAGTAGAGAAGTAAATTTGGGGAAAATGTGGAAGCTAGGGGGAAAAAATCCAGTTTACTGGGATGGGTAGGGGCAAGGAAGTGAAGGACAAGTCAGACTGTGGACTTCCGGTTGACTTTTCTTTGTAAGGGTCCCCCCAGCATCAATTCAATTCTGGCATGGGCAAATTAAGGCAAACCATGGCTTTCCTGCCACAGTGGCTATTGGAAAAAGCACTGCCACATCTATAAATTTGAGGCTTATGATGATGTAGCCCACATTTCAGGGTGGGGTCTTGGTCCCCCAGCCCTCCAGACAAAGGTGAGAGATGCTTAAGAGTTGCAGTTCAGCAAACTTGGAGGACAATTAAAAAACAACACACTTATACAAAAAGTTGACTTAACCTGAGCCCCAGTGGAAATCAAAGGGTTTGGATCTAAGCATGTTATCATCCCCATAAGCTGCGGTGAGATTAGGCAGAGGTACAGCCACATGTTTTTTGAGGATTTTGCCGGTGCAGAGAACAAAAAGAACGGCTGTGCTCCTAATTCGCTCGTAAACCCTCAGCAATGGCTCCACTTCTCATCTCTTCTCAGCTGTGAATTCAAAAGGCTTCACCCATCCACCTGCAGACCACTAGTATCTAGGTGCAAAGCATGAAAGGCACTAATCTCCCTTCTTTTTATCTCCTCTTGGCCCAAACCTACCTGTTTTCCCAGAGGGTGATCCTCTTGGATTCCTTAAAGGGATCTCTGAACCAGCCCCAGTCTAACCTCCAACCCTCTAGTGGCACTTGGAGGATTTCTCTCTGCCATGCCCCACTCTGGAACTGAGCCAATGAGAATGGAAATCCCCATTTCTCAGGCAGCTAGAAATCAGTCATCCCTTCCCAGCCAAGCAGCTGGAACAGAAGTGAGACTTGGAGGGAGGGAGGGAGGGAGG